TTAATATTTTTATTTTTTGGTTTAATTTTATTTTTTGCCAGTATACAACAAATAAATAAATACCTAAACAAATAAATAAACAGCAGTAGCCAGTTGTTGTTGTTGTGCTTTTTTTTCCTTGTATAGAAAAGTCTGATATTATCTGTAAATGATCAACCAACAGTTATTTTAAACAATCTGCTAATAATACTAAATTACTTTAATTCATTTTTTCATTAAATTTACGACATTATTTGTATTAGATTCTTTCCTGCTTTCTTAAAACACATACAGATTTGCTTAAATTATCTCTAATCAAATGTAGAGTTCTGTCTGTAAATGTTTATGCCAATACTATCAATCTGAGAGTTTAAAAAAAAAAAAAAAAGTGTTCATAATTATGTCAATAATACTAAATTACAAGTATCTCTCTCTCTTTCTTTTTACAGATAACTAACTATATTATTTATACAGCATTTTTCTGTTTTCTTCAATCATACATAAATATATCCAAAAATGGCAATAATTATCTGTAATTACACATGTAGTTCTCTATATTAAGGTTTATGCACATATTTTGTAATATTTGTGAACAATTAGTTGATATTTTAAACTCTCTGTGATGCGTCTTTTATTTGTAATAATTCAGGTCAAATCTATAAAATTAAACTGTTTCACTGCAGAACTTTTAGATCTATCAAGATATGAACGATGTTTGATCCTAACAATTTAGGAAAAGATGCAAAAATAACAGTTTTTCTCTGCAAAACATACAATGAAAATGCAGGTAAATTTATTGTTTTTGCACATTTTCTTTTGCATATTTGAATTAGGACCACTTTATTTAATTTTACTGTTTTTCAATTTAATTCTATTTTATTTCCTTATTTATTTATTTTTAAATACAAAAAGCTACATGCTCTGCTGTGTCCTTCTGCTCGAGTCAAATGTGTCATTACCTTGATGGCAGTGGTTGCCACGGTGAAGAGCAGAGTGATGAGGAAGAGGAGGATGAAGGTGAGCGCTGTCTTTGCCATGCAGTCTTCTTCTGCCTCCACGGCTGCGTTCCACTCTTTGTTTATTTCAAACATGAGCTCTGGATGTAGTGCACAGTAATGATTTCAGTTAGCACTTGTAACAGTCCAGCTTTGAACACGTGAGACAACACACTGTGAAGTTCTATGTTTTATCATCTCTGAAATTAGAGTTAATTTTATCTGTCAGTGGATAAACACAAACACCTGGCTCAGTAGTTTTGCATGTGATTTTGAAACGTTATTCAATTGGTCCTACGGTGACCCTGACTTGCTTTGAGGGACCCCATCGTTAGTGCTGCGTGCATGACTTGGCTTGTGACTCACTACGTTCACTGTTCGATCATCTGTGCAAGACCCAGTGGAGGAAACACAAAGACAAGTCACAGAAGCAGTGTTAACGCGCTCTCTGCACACCAAATGAACGACTTATTTCATGAAGCTGCTGGCCAGAGTTAGCAAGGTGGTGCAAATCTAGCAAATAAACTATGATGATAAAAGTGCATAGAGCTCAAAAACGCTGATGTCTGCATTTAAGTTGTGTTGCGTTACAACAGAGCTGCGACCGAACACTCACAATAAACACGTAGCTGTCGACGGACAATAAATAAAGACATGAACTGCATCCGACAAACATCAACAGAGGTGCACAGGAGTTTTTTTGTTTTTTTTTTTTATTTTGTTTTTGAATCTGCATTAAAAACACACAAACACAACGTCATATCACAAGCAACAAACATCAAACAACAAGGAACAGGAGACAGTGCGACACAAAATGACATCTACTGGGTCTTGCACGTGTCGGGGACGTTCATGTTGAGGTTAACCAGGTTGGGTTTGTCATCTGATCTGTATCCGATGGACCTGACAATGGATCTGGTTGTGTTATCCAGGGATTCGTGGTAAACTACACAGCTATACACCACATCGGGCTCTTTCCACTGATCGGTGGTCACGGACAAGTGGCTGTAAGCGTAATAGGTGTCACTGCCTTCTACAGAGTTTGTGGTGTTGGACTTGTATGCCGAGTTTGCTTCCACGTCATCAACAAGCCAAGACACGAAAATGTCCTTTGGGTAGAAGTCTTTCACATAGCAAGTCAGGGTCACCTCACTCTTTCTAGTGTGTTCTAGAGGAGGCAGCATAAACACTGACGGACGCTGAGTTTCTCCTCCTGCAAGCATGAGAGAACAATTAGATCTCCTTCCTCAGATGACAGCGCCCAGTGCACTGGAGAGAATCTGAGACGCAAAAAAATCAGACAAAAGTATTTGATGGACAGTTGCTGAGTAGTTTTCTTACCAATATTCCTGTCATAGACTTTCTTCAGGGCTCCATACCAATCTGGACTTTCAACACGGCAGTACCGTTTCTTCCCCTGGACCCATTCCTCATACGTGATGTCAAGCTTAAGGATGAACAGGCCTTTCTTTCCTGGTTGAGGGATCATAGCCCCGTCGGCCATTTCAACCTCATGCTCATCCTCCCACGATATTTTCTCGATTTTTCCCCGTTTTACCTTGACTTCACATGTTATAACTCCTTTTCTATTGATTAACATGTCCTCGATTGTGGGGGGTATGATCTCTACCTCCACATCTGCTTCCATGCATCCGACACAAACTGAATGAAGACATAATGTACAGTTATTGAGCAGAAAGAAAAAAATAATGCAGGCAGGCATTAATTCACGCGGTAACAGTTTACTCACTCTTTTGTTCTTCCTTGAAGCTCACAGATGCGTTCTTGAATACTTTATCGTTTTCTCCTTGCCCCGTGAACAAACACGTGAACGTTATTCCTTCAGTGTACTCTGTGCTCTGCACTGTGAGCATGCTTGTTGCAGTGTACAAGGTGGTGCCATTCTCGTCTTTTCTTTCTCCATAAAGGTCTGTGCCCTTGCCTGTGTTGGCGACTTCATTTCCGTTTCTCAGCCATTTGAACTCGCTGTGTTTTGGTGAAAAATCTTTGGCAGTGCAGGAGAAGGAAACCTCGTCATCCTCATCAGAGGAGGAGCACACGTTAAGAGTTGGCAACTGAAAAAGCTTCCCTGAAAAACAAACACATACACAAATATATGTATGCAGAAGCAGGGAATAATATATATATGCAGAAGCTGAGGTGAACATTGTGCTACAATATTCATACCATCTCAATTAACTCTAAACTTACAATCAGCATGACTTTATGTTTGTTCTGCGACTTGCACACACACGTGCTCCTAAATGAACTCTTCTAATGATCACTAAAGGTTTTTATCGTCACAGCAGATCTTCAATGCTCACTTCTGCATATACATTGACCGGCGAGCAAACACAGACAATTAATGATGTTAATTATCAACGTACAGCCAAAGTGGAGGCAAGCAGAGACCAGGAAGCACTAGAATTATGCGACAAAAGAGAATAAAACAGCAGAACACACTACAGAGGACGCACGGTGCATTAGTGAGGAATTAAAGCTGAACATAAAGCATTAACCTTTTCACTCCACCTCACTGTGGCTTACTCATCAGGCCTAGTATGAATCTAGGAATATTTCAGCATGCTATTTAATTGGGTCAAAGTTGAATTTGGGTTTGTTTTGGGTCACAGATTGAAGTATGTTCATGTAAAAAAAAAAATATTAACATCAAAATTTAAAAAGTTCAGCAAATTACTGTTTTGTTTAATATGTTCACTTGTTAACAAAAGCAGCTCAGGATGAATTTACTCAAGTGTAGTAAAGTCTGTCTTTAAAAAGAAAAACCTAAAACAAGTAATCTGATTTGCTTTTTGCAGACACATTACAGTTATTTAAGCAGTTAAGTTATATTTTTTTATCCTTATCAGAAGGAGCTGTGACTACATGTAGCCTCTGAGAATTCATTAGCTGTCATTCATTTATTAACTACACAGTAAAATCTAAACATTTCATTGACTCATGGTGCTATGTTTGATGTTGTATTAAATCTAAGCTGTTATCACCAAGTTGCTGCTACGGTTTTAACAAAATATAAATTACACCATTTTGCAAAGAAGTCCTTCAGGTTGCTGCGTAACTTTAAAATATGTGAACAGTTCTGTCACGTAAAACCTTTTAGGATTAAAATCAGCTTGTAAAAAGTAATACTTCAAGACATAGCATGGGGCTTACGTGGTGGAGATGGTGGAGTTGATGGGATAGTCGCCTGTGCATTCCCGGCAGCATGAGCCGCGAGACACTTGAAGGTTTCACTCGGGTTCCAGTCCTCTTTTCTCACTTGGATTTGACTGACTCCCGTGTACACGTCGTTTTTCAGTACCGGCGGGTACTGGATGAAGTCCGTCACGGCTACATTGTTTTTGGTCCAAGAGAAAGTCAGTGAGGAGGGCGTGAAGCCGGTGGCCATGCAGCCAAAGGTCACCATTGCTGCAGTCTCGGATCCACATGGTACCAGTGGAAACACAGTCGGCCCAGTTGAAGTGGCTGAGAAAAGGAGCACAAACATATAATTACAGCATTAAAATAGAAATAAAATGACGTAACACACATTTTTGACAAAGCATTAAAGAGAAACCACTTGTATGTAATTCAGTGGAACATGAAAGACATCACCTGTAAAATGTTGACCTTTATACCAGCCTCCCTCCTTAATACGATTTGTTTTATTTTGTTATTCTGCACATAAACTAATAAAACACTTTACCAAATGTACAATTCAGACAACAACCACGAGTCGCTGGTTTGACACCGAATCAAGAAAAGTGTAAAATCCACATTGACAGAGTCGAGGACGAATTCTTACAAGAACAAAAAAAACCTCACTTTTAAATCAACATCAGCAGTTACGTATGAGAATGAATGCTGTTCTTACCTGATGACACCGTTACAGTTGTACCTTTCCCCCAGTAGTCAAAAGCACCGTAGTAGCACAGTGTTGAATCTACTGAGGTGGTCGTATAAAAAATCTAATCTACTGCTGTGTACCGGCGAACACACACACACAAAAAAAGTCTACTGTCGCATTTAAATAATCCCCCTGTGTTCTAAAATCCACCTCAGTGAGCCACAATACGACTCAGAATATCCCAGCGACACAAAAGATGACTTTTTAAAATCTAAAACAAATCCTAAAGCAGTTTTAAAAAAGGTGCAGTTCTTACCTGACGACACCGTTACCATAGTTCCTTTCCCCCAGTAGTCAAAAGCCCAGCTATCACAGTTCAGAGAGTCTATTCACACGACTTACAAAAACCCCATTCTCACATTTCCTGATATTTTGTTGTTGTTTTTTTGGTTTGGAAGGAGTTTAAATTAGTCTAAAATAAAAACCTGTTTCTGAAATGATGTTAAGGTTTGAATTTTTTGCTGAATTTGATGTCAGGTTATGGCTGTTTTAACGCCGTCCAATGATCCACATAAAAACCATAAATATGTAATTTACTGGTGTAATTGCAAATTTCTTCCTCCGTTTAGACAGAATAAAATTTCATACCTGAGGTGACGGTGACCGTTGTTCCTTTCCCCCAGTAGTCAAAAGCGTAGTCACAGTGTATGAAATTATTACCCGCCACATACAAAAACCTGCCCCTACATTCACACACTGTCCACGGTGGGTTATTTTGATCATAATCTACCTTCGGCTGTATCTTTCTCCACTTTTGCAAAATGAGAGACTCAGAAAACTGAACTGAACAGGATTTTTAACCATCAAACTTTAAACTGACGTTCCAGAAATTAAAGGACTGTTTCACAATTAAACGTCTTTAAAAAAATAAAAATAAATAAAATCCAGATATTTACATGTGGAGCGGAAAAATTCCATCAACTTACCTGATGTAACCGTAACCGTTGTTCCTTTTCCCCAGTAGTCAAAAGCCTCGTCACAGTGTAATATGTCAGCACATTCAACATACAAAAACCTTAAAGATGCTGCTGCTTTACCGACGTCTAAGTACGCCCCATTAAAAACCATAATTACTACATTTTGAGTGAGTAGAGCGGGGACAAGGAGCTCGTTTTACCTGATGTGACGGTCACCGTTGTTCCTTTTCCCCAGTAGTCAAAAGCATCGTCACAGTGTAATATGTCAGCACATTCAACATACAAAAACCTTAAAGATGCTGCTGCTTTACCGACGTCTAAGTACGCCCCATTAAAAACCTTAATTATTACATTTTGAGTGAGTAGAGCGGAGACAAAGAGCTCGTTTTACCTGATGTGACGGTCACCGTTGTTCCTTTTCCCCAGTAGTCAAAAGCAGCGTCACAGTGCAACATGTCAACACATCCAACATACAAAAACAAGCCCCTTGAAGATGCCTCTGAGCTCCAAATACGCCACATAACTCAGTGTAATTAATACATTTCCAACATGAGGGCAACAAAGCTTTCTTTTTACCTGATGTGACAGTGACCGTTGTTCCTTTCCCCCAGTAGTCAAAGTAGTTGTCACAGTGACAGCTTTCAATGGCACTTCAGTGCAAAAACTCAATCTTTCTACTTAATCCATCAACAATTGAATACACCTGATATAGACTCAGGTTTTTGGTTTTGGCTGCAGATTTCACCCAGGTTTGTGCACACAATGAAATGTATTTCCCAATAAATGGGAAAAATGTTGAATTTTCACCTCTGTATGATAATTTCGAGTGTTACTTACCAGAAGTTACTGTGACTTGTGTTCCTTTGCCCCAGTAGTCAAAGTAGCCGTCACAGTGACAAACTACAATCTGCCTCTAATACAAATACTTAAGCAGCTTAAACCAAGAGAAGGTTTCACTGACAAAGCAATTCCCACAACGCCATGTAACATCAATCTCCCTGGAGAGCTTCTTTTCCTGTGGTTATATAAAACTACTTCCTCTTTATCAGCTCCGATTCCTGCAGGCTCAAACAACCACTTGATTCAGCTGATGCTGGGTGGCACCACTGCTTTAAGGAAGAAAAGGTCAAGATTCAGCAGGATTTAGGTTTGTTTCTCATCCACTTTTGGTTGCAGCTGGTGGCCAGTTTGACCCTGTGAGTGCACAAGAGGAGTTAAACCAGAAGGCCCACACAAAACACAGAGAAACTGACCCCAGGCTTTTCTTTTTCTTTATTTTTTCTCATGAGAGACTAATTAAGCTTCACAATAATGTTTTGATTCTGTACCTTTGCAGTTAAACAGTAAAAGCACAGAACTGCATTCAAACAACTGGTAATAAAACCCATCACCAGTGTGTCTACCTGAGCTCTAACCGGATTACACCAACAAACCAACTGTAAGAAATGGAAAGCAAACACAAAAGTACCTGGGGTGTCTACATCAGCAAAAACAGTGTTAATGAGGAAAAAGGAAGACACTGCAGCTAAAACTGATCGAATGAACTATTTTAAACTATAAATTTGTCTCTCCCAGGTGGAAAAATCAAAGACTCACGGTCCATTCGGCTTGAAATTCTTCTTATCGAAGCATTTAAATCAGTTTTGAGTGAACATTCACAGGTAATAATAAAGATAACGTTGGATACTGAATTGCACAATTGGCATCGGATTTCTCTCTGACCACTCCCCTGTCAGTATAACTATCTCACCTCCTTATAGGGATCCGACCTGCAGACATTGGAGATTTAATCCTACCCTACTTAGTAACCATTCTTTTGTTGAGTATATTAAATCTGAGTGGCAACAGTTCATATCTACAAATAAAACCCCAGATATTAGTCCCTCTACACTGTGGGAAGCTGGCAAGGCATATTTACGTGGGGCCATTATTTCTTTTACATCAGCACAGAAGAAGGATGCCCTTAAGAAACAGCTGGATTTAGAGGAAAAAATAGCAGATCTGGAAGCTCAGTTTAAGAAATCTCATAGCAGGTCTCTGGCAAAACAGCTGGACGCAGCTCGCTCAGCTCTACATCAGCTCCTATCCAGGAGAGTGGAGACACTGATTTTTTTTTTGCTAAACACAGATTGTTTGAATCCGGCAATAAACCAGGCCGCCTGTTAGCTCGCCTTGCTCGTGGTAGAACTGAACTCAATCTAATCCCTTCTCTCATAGACAGAAATGGGGAGAGGCACTTCAAATCATCTGGTGTCAATGAAGTAATGAAACTATTTTGTAAAGATCTATATAGCTCAGATTGTTCATCTTCCCCTGAGACTAGAGACATTTTTTTTAACAAGATCAAATTATCGTCTCTATCAGAAGAACAGAAAGTGGATTTATGCAAGCCAATTAGTA